GTATGCAAGACCCGTGCCTAAGCAAAAGTTCATTTTAGGCATAGTGGCTCGCATATAAAGAGCAAACATCCTCAAAAAGGTGCAGCATCCTGCTCAGTCTGGCTATCGAATTAAAAGTTTGCCAACAGTGTCCCGTAGTAAATATCCATTTTATATGAGTGCGAAACTAAGCGCGCTTTAAAACTGAATTTAAAATATTTAGATCGTATATTAGCAAATGATATCTTTGTGAAGTTTCAGCTTCCTGTCTTCACTGATCGCTTTTTGTTACGTGTATTTTTGACCTGTCTGAATGCACGATACAGATGTACGTCAAAGTTTGTTTTACGCCTACATGCCCATGTATGGGAGAAGGTATTCTTGTAAAGTGCGCATGATGCATGCATCGGTATCCCGGGGAGTCATCGGACTCCATCTCTGAAGTATCTGTAAAGACGTACTGGCAACATAGGAACTTTACTTACACAGTAATTAAACGAATGTGTATGTATATAAGAAATATCTAAGGGAAAACAAAATCGAGCAGCATGTCGTTCGGGGGAGATTTGCTTCATGCAACAAAACAAGAGCAACAGCGCAACAGCATACGCCATGAAAATTTCGTGAGTGTAAACTGCAGCTCGAGGACAGTCTGCACGGCGACACACTTTTCCGGTGGGTTACGCCACTGTTTCACATCTGCGTACAATCCTCATACTCTATGGTACCACTGAGTGCTGTGGAATACTATTACTCGTCTTATTAAACCATTTCAATAAAATTGTTTTTCTAAGGGAACAGTTTATACCTATCACAGCTACTTGTGGTAGGAGGTGATGGCCATCGTCCAGCTCCTATGCTGGAAGTGCACCTGGCCCTGTCCTTGCAAAAAATAAAACATAAGGAAAACTGAGTCATAAATCACAGAATTGGGTCTCGTGAGAAGCAGAAGTAGCCAGAGTTAAATGCAAAATTTAGCCAATAAGGAGGCACATATTTTGAAGCGGTTGGGGACAGTGGCTTGTAAGAACGATATCTCTGGTGCTGAAGCGCCTCCACAATTTCAGTGTAAAACCGAGAAAGGCCTCGAAACTGGGACTTGCTATCTCTGCTGGATAATGAAGAGCTCGAAAAATGTGCATTCATTTTGTCGGGTAGTAGGAAGTGTAACTTGC